TGGCACAAACTGACCTTCCAACACACATGTATGAGGCTGATTATGGTGCAATGTATGAGCCAGAATTTGTGGATATGCCTCATCTCAGTGACTATGGATATTACTCATCAATAAATAATGGTGAGTTATATTTAGGCATGGAGTTTTCAAGCAAAAAAGAAGCGATGATGGATATAAAAAATTATAATATATGTAATTCTATTCAATCGAGAGTCGACTGCTCCATGACATAAAAATATGTATGCTACTGTGCCCGACGCGAAAATGGATGCAATTGAATGGTTCATGTATCGAAGAGGAAGAGGAAGAGGAAAAACAACAGATGTGAACTAACAGTATACAACGGTCCTCACACATGTTGTGTTGGAGGGGTCAACCAAGATCATCCCAACTTGGACTCTGAAGTGATATGCCAAGCCATCATGCCCATGGTAAAAGCAAGCTCTCTTATAGCTGTTGTTGTGTTGATTTCAGCTATATAATCACAGTATGGGTATATTGTCTCCTATAAAAAAACTTGGTTGGCAAAACAAAATGCCATTGTCAAACTTCATGGCGAATGGGATGCATCTTACTACGAACTTCCAGGCTGGTTTAGGCTAGTGCGGAGGTTGAATCCTAGGACAATTGTGGACTTCGAAACCTCCTATGCATACCATAATGATCGAGCTCTCCGCGATCGATGCCAATTCTACCGGGTCCAGATCTATAGGACTTTCTTGTATGGAAAATACAAGCAAGTTTTATTATTGGCAGTTGTCCAAGATGGCAATCACAACATTCTTCTAGTTGCTTTTGCTCTTGTCGAATGAGAAGATACAAATTCTTGGATTTTTTTTCCTTAAAAATTTACGTGCACATGTTATAGCGAGGGAAAAAATCTGTGTTATTTCAGATCGCAGAGCTGGGATCAAAGCAACAATGGATTCTTTGGGTCCAATATGGCAACCACCCTTTGTCCAACATAGGTATTATTTCCGACACATTGCTACGAACTACCATGGAAGATACAAGAAGAATGATGAGCGTCAATTACTTGTGCGCATGTGTAAGTGAAACTGATGTATTTAGTTTTCTTTCGATCCTTTTGATCATGTTAGTAAGTTATACATTTTTTGATCAGGTTGCAAACTACTTCCTTGAATCCTTGAATCAATGCTTCAAGATTTGCGGGCGAAGAATGAGGAATGATACGATTACATCAGCCTCATCGATAAAGAAATGCGGACGAATGTATATGATGGTGTATATCGATATGGACACATGACGACCAACTTGGCAGAGGCAATCAATTCAACCTTAAAGGGTGAACGTCACTTACTGTAGCGGCTTTGGTAAAGACTACATATTTTCGTTTGGGGCGCTTTTTGCGAAGCTCGAGGGATAAGCTCAAACATGGATGCAAGGCGGTCATGTGTATCACCCTAGATTAGTTGCAGATCTACATAAAAAAAATTGTTGCATCAAATGAGATGTGTGTAACAAGTTTCTCTAGAAGGCATGAAATGTTCGTGTCACAGAGTTATCGCGACCTCTTCAAGGGATTGAAGATGTGTCGTTAAGAGTAAATCTAAGGGATAGAACGTGCGACTGCGGGTTTTTTGAAGCTCTAAAATATCCATGCTCTCATGTGATAGCAGTTTGCTCGCATACACGTCAAGACTATAACCATTTTGCGGATCACGTATACCTACTATCTAAAGTTTTTAAGGTATACGAATTTGAGTTCCCCCCCCATAGATAATGACAAAGACCCTGATGAGGTTCAAGATTGGCTTCCGATTGTACCAAATCTGAGTTTATTGAGGGAGCGTGGTCGTCCAAAATCCAATCGATTTCATTGCGATATGGATATTCGAGAAAAGATCTAGACAAGACAAAAGATGTGGGCATTGTAGAAACCCAGGACACACTAGAAAAACATGTCCACTTCTGTTGTCATCAAGTAACAATTGATGAGGAAATGATGTAGTTGTTTATCAATTAATAATTGTTGTACTTTAATTTGCATTTACTTAAAGTTAATGTTATTCGATAACCGCTGATGAAGATTAAAAAAACGATACAATTATACGAGATTGGACGTTAGCGTTATATTAACAAATAACTGATATTAATGATACAGTAAGTACTAAATGGTAAATGATAACCAAATTACAATAACTAATATTAAATGGTAATAAACAAAATTAAGCAAAATAAATTAACAAAAAGTCTAACAAATTTATCAAAATAAATTAAAATAAATCCAACCATATTAATGAATTAAAGTAAGTATTAAATGATAAATAATAAAAAAAATTACAATAAAAAAGTCCAATAAACAACTACAATAAAAAAGTACTAAATACAAATATAATAAAAAAACAAAATCTATCGATGCATGCGACGCGAATGTGTTTCGTAGGGCGGTGGTTGTCGGTCTCGAGGAGGATTTCTTCGTATCACTAGTTATGACTCTTCGCTGTCATCACCATCATCATCGTCGTCGTCCTGAGCATTTAAATTTTGTTGATGAGGAGCTGATGACGATGAAGCACCTCCATAGAATAAGGACCCTGGAGGTGTATGACTGACTATCCCACCGGCCTGCGAAAACTGGGAAAACTCATAAAACCCAAACATCGCTAAGTGTGAAAACTGTACAGGAGGTATCTGTGCTGCGGCCATGGGTGATAAGGCTGAACCCGCCAAATATCTAGCATATGAACCCCAAGTCGGATATACAAACATAGACTCATAATAGTCTCCAGGAGGGGTCATAAAACTCTATGAATGTGGCGGGGTCATAAAACCAGATCAAGACGGCAACATCTGATAATGGAAAGGCGGTGACGATATCATATATGGCTGCAGTATGTAAGTCGTTGCAGATGATGGCTGCTGTGAAAGTCCTGCTGGTGCATCTGATGATGAACCGGAAGCACCTGCTCTCCGTCCACGAGTCAGGGGATGATGGTGCTGTGTTGGTGAACGTCTCTGTCGACATCGTGGAAAGGTCCGCCCTCGTGCATCCTCGGGAAGCAGAAACAGTTTCCCGTTTCTGTTGAACCACTCATAATAATCATCACCAACCGTCAAGTCATCAACATAAATGGGCTCTCTACGGGGAAGGCACCGATGTCGATCCTCCCACAACACGACCCACTCATGATGTCTCACCAGCCAATCTGTATCGGTCTTGTCGCGTCTATATATGGTATGCAAGTCGTCCATATTGTGAGGTGCTTCAGGAATTGGTTAAAAACAACCAAATTGCCAGAGCACGCGATCAGTGGAGTGCTACTCGACGGTCGCATAACATATCAAAGGGGTCATCGCCATCAAAACATCTGATGGGCCCATCAACTCAGGTGGGATCATCGTCCTCATATCATCATTAGAATATGACACCCATTCAAACTAAAACAAATATATATAATTTTTATCAAAATAATAATCTAATTATATAACTATAATCTAAAATCGATTTTTAAACATTTAAATTCATACCTGTGTGCCAGCCTTCTGATCGATGAGCACCCTAATTTTTTCTAAATCATCAGGTAGCTCCTGATGATTTTTCCTATCAATAGACCACTTATTCAAGAAAAGTTTTTATTATACGCTATATAAAATGATTAATATGCGAAATCAATTTTATAATTACCTCAAGAGTAGCGGAAATACGAATGAGTTCTTCATAACGGGACATAAAAAGGGCAATCGATACCATGCCCAAGACTGCAGTAGGAGAAGACATCTGCCGATAGCATTTCTCCTGTAGTCAGTGGATCGACACATCTCCCTGTACAATAAAGTCAAAACTGTCGAGCCCCAACTGAGTGATCCGGCCAGACGAAAGTCGACAAGATGTCGCAACCACATACGGTGAATTTGGTTGTGCGATTTATCCGGCATCAACAACCCTCCTATCAGCTGCAGTATGTATGCCCGTGCATACATTTTAACTTCATCATCTGACGTGTCCTCGCTCAACTCCCGAAAATTGGCATTTAACCAATTTAACGGTCTCCGACCACCGTTAAAACTTTCCGGGACACATCCTAGATTATCCCGACACAAAGCAGTCCAGGAACACTGCGCGATCCCTGATATCACATCTCCATCCACCGAAAGCCCCAGGTGCATAGCAACATCCTCAAGTGTAATCGTACACTCTCCGCACGGAAGATTGAATGTGTGGGTCTCCGGCCTCCACCGCTCTACTAAGGTATAAATAAGGTCTGGTTCTATCTTACAGTGACCCTGATATCTACCTATGTAACCGAATCCAACCTCTACTAAATACGGCAAGACACAGCTAGGTATCACTAACTTAAGATTCCTAATAAATGGATCTAATATACGGTCCTTCTCCTAAAATTAAATAATTACAAAAAAATAATTCTTAATCTAATAATCATGCATTAAATAAATCAACAAATAATTACTAATAATTTAAATTAAATTAAAACGTTAAAATGTTACCGTATCAGCAAAGTGTCGAGATATATGATTTCCATCCAAGCGAAGTAGATCGTCTTCCATTTTATATCTACAAAAAAATTAATTAAATAAACATTTAAATAAAATAAATACTTAAATAAATTAAATATAAAATATTAAAAATATAATAAAATATATACCTTAGACAGAGATTATAAGAGTATTTGAGAGAAGTTGAGAGAATTTGGTGTGATGAAAATGATTGAGGATGAGGTTATTTATAGGGGGGATTGAGGTGTGAAATGTCAGGTAGGTGGGTAATTATACTCAATGTGTGCCGCAGGGGGCGCGTCTTACTAATGCGTGGCAAATTATGGGGTAAGGCGCGGTCCTTGCACCGCGCTATACCCCTGTACACACGTGTATACCATGTCAGCATAAGACCACGTGGTGTCAAATCAAAATCGAAAAATATAATTTAGACAGTGCCTGATCGAGAAATATAATATTCAACGGTGATATATCAGAAAAATCGCCAAAGTAGTCGCGGTATTTATTCCTTTTTCTTTGTCCGAGGCGCAATAACGCTTTCCTCAAATTCCTTCTTCACTTGATTTGACCCAGAATCCATGGATTCTAATTCCCAACAACCAGGTCCGATTTCTTCATTTTCGTTGTTCTTTTGATCTTTGTTAGGTTTTATCATCGTGTTTTCAACGATTGATCAATTCGATTGGTGGTTTTGTTACGGTAAATTAAGAATCCGTGTAATTTATATTTCAAATTATGGATTTTCCTTACTTTTTTTAAATGATAGAATTAGATTAAGAAATTGAAGGATAATTAACTTGGATTTGGTGTTAACAAATATAATTATTTGCAATTGATCTTTTTTTTCCTTTGTTTTTGTTTTGTGCAATTTGATTGTAATTGACATTCTCCACCGCAGCTACAGGTGGCTCTCCACCTAAACCATGGGAGCAAGCCGGGGGCACGGCTGGTTCCGGACCCTTTAAGCCACCGTCGCCTGGCAGCACAAGTGATGTGGTTGAGGCATCTGGAACAGCTAGACCAGGTGAAATTGTTTCAACTGCTGATGCTACTGCTGCTGTGAATGGAAATGCTGTTGGTAGGCCTTTACCCAACAGGCCTTGGGAGCAACAGAATTACGGAAGCACTTATGGAGGTAAATAGTTCATTCATCTATTACAATATTGATGGTAAAGAGTTCGTTCATCTATTACAATATCGACGACTACTTATTGTGGAGCTTGTCTAATTTGGTGTTTAATGCAGGTTATGGTTCTGGCTTAAACTACAACTCAGGGTATGGTTCATCGTATGGCGGTGGATTGTATGGCAACAACATGTATAGAGGAGGCTATGGTGGTCTTTACGGGAACTCTGGAATTTACAGTGGTGGAATGTATGGCGGTGGTCTCAGTGGTTTTGGGGGTCCAGTGGGTGGTTATGGGATGGGCATGGGTCCATATGGTGAGCAAGATCCAAATAATCCTTTTGGTGCTCCCCCATCCCCACCAGGCTTTTGGATATCCTTCCTCCGCGTGGTAATTTATCTTGAATCTTGTTTTTTCTTTTAATTTTTATCTGATTAAATGTAAGCAATATCATCTGTTACTTAGAATGTCCGATCCTAGCTGTAATGGAAGCCCTCCACCTTTAGTTATTGACTCCTATTCTTTCGTTTTCTCTGTTCTTGAGGTCAAAATATGCAGTTGTGCACTCTAGGAAATATTCACGTATTTCATCATTTCACTGTTCATTTTATAAAGAACTAAATATTCATGTGGAGAGGAGGTATGGGTATTGGTAGCATTTCTGGCTTGGTTCAAGATTGCTCAGAATCTTTATGGAGTGCATATACATTGTGACTTGTCTTTAACTCTAAAATGTCAGAAACAATTGAGGGCTGTTATTTAACTCTTTAACGTTTTATTTTTGTTGATAAAATAAGGCCTCATTAAAAACTCCCTTCTTATCCTACATGTTACAAACATAACATGAAGGACATTGGAAGGAAGAAAAGAGTGCCTCTAACTTTTATTAATTAGAACAATAATACACCTCCACTACTCAACAGCTAACAACTTCTTACAAAACAGAAAACCATAAATCTAAAAACAAAACACACCCTGAAACTCTTAAAAAGGAACTACCAAGGCATAACACCTTAACCATTACACAAAACGTAAGTTCAGCCTATACCAGCTTTAGCTAATTCATCCGCTTCCCAATTTGCTGCTCTCGAGATGAGCCTTGTGATGATACCCTTCCTCTCCACAGTAGAAGCTATATCCCTTACCAAGGAATGAAACAAAGTAGTACTAAGGTTCGGATTATTAATCCATTTCAGAGCATTAGAAGAATCCGATTCCAAAATGATCCTCTGATTTGAAAAGAGATCAGCTTCAACTTCCTCAATAAGAATCAACCCTCTCTTGATCGCCAAAAGCTCAGCAAGTAAGGGAGGACCTCCCCCTACCTTCTCTGAAAAAGACCCAAGCACCATCCCTCTGCCATCTCTAGTCAAGCCACCTATTCCACCCTTATCCCAACCTTTGACCATTGCACCATCAACATTAACTTTTAAGAACCCTATCGGAGGAGGACTCCACCTAGAAGAAGGAAGATACCTCTTATTCAGATTGACATGTTGATCAGCTAGTTTTAAATCCCCCATCAAGGAATCAAAATGAAAATGAACATCCTTAACTGATGTTTCAAACCAAGAAACAGTTTTGAAATGTGAAATGAAGAACAACAACGCTGAATCAACCTTTCCATTATGGAAAATCACCTCATTCCTACATTTCCAAACAGACCACAACACTGCTCTTGAAATAAACTTCCATATATTGGATCGCGCCACTAAGTCATCCCAGGCAATTAGGAAGTCCATCACCGAACCAGGAACCACAAAGAAAACATTCCAAAACTTTAAAAACTTAGCCCACAAAACCCATACCACTTCACAGTGAAGAAACAAATGAGAGACCGACTCATTGTACTTCCTGCACAAAGGGCAGACAGAGTCTTCAACCCCAGAAACTCCTCTCTTCAGCAATTCCTCTTTCACCGCAACTCTATGATGAGCAAGTTGCCAAACAAAGGATTCCACACGTGGTGGAGCTACTCCCTTCCAAACATACCGTTCCCAATTACTTTCTAATTGATCAATACCCTCTCTATCAAAATAGGTTTTCATGCATGATTTTGCTGTAAAACAATCCTCTCCATTTCCCAACCAAATCCAACAATCTTCCTCTACTAGAGACAAAGAAGAGCTATTCAACAGAGAGATAATTAGCAGCCACTGCTCAACCTTTCAATCCACCAAATTCCTTCTCATTTGAATATCCCAAACCCAACCTGAATCATTGTGCAATCTGAATTCTGCTACCTTACCCTCTTTGTTATTCAAAAGAGCAAATAACCTTGGAAACCTATCTTTTAGAGGAGCCGAACCCAACCAAACATCATGCCAAAACTGAACAGTTTCTCCATTTCCAGCCCTAACACACAAATTTCTCCTAAAACAGTCCCCAAATGCATCACTTGAAAAGAAGTTCTTAACAATTCCTCTCCAAATCCAAGAACTACGAGCTGTCCAAGTATTCCGGATCATCAAAGAATTAGGATCCATATTGTAAACACAACACACAACTGATTTCCACCAAGAATTTTTCTCTCCAGCAAATTTCCACACCCATTTCCCCATAAGAGCCCTGTTTAAAAGCAGCAGATTCGGAATCCCTAAACCTCCCAACTTCTTTGGCTTACACACCAAATCCCACTTGATCCAATGAATGTTCTTTTTATCTGATGATCCCCCCCATAGAAACGATGCCATGATAGAGTTTAGTTTGTTGAGAATACTAATAGGGATCCGAAAAATAGAAAGATAGTGGATTGGAATATAGCACAACACCGATTTGACCAAGACAACCCTTCCAGCCAGAGATAGAGACTTGGCCTTCCAACCAGCCAAATTATTATAAAATTTTTGTATAACCGGTTCCCATAAGGAAAAAGAATTCCTCTTGGCCCCCAATGGAAGACCTAAGTACTCCGAAGGAAAAACTCCCCTTATGCACCCTATTTCCTTTGCCCATGAAACTAGTTCCTCCTCCCCCATATTAATTCCAAAAATTCTGCTCTTAGACAGATTCAACTTCAAACCCACCATCAGTTCACAAATTAAAAGTACCCTTCTAATATTCACCAAATCATGAATAGAAGGCTTACTAAAAATTATTAAATCATCCGCAAATTACAAATGAGATATCATGAAAGAACGTTCATTAGAGCCTAATTCAAAACCCGAAAACAACCCCTTATTCACTGCTTTTACCAACATTAAATGTAGCAATTCCCCTCCCAAATTGAACAATAAAGGGGATAACGAGCAGCCCTGCCTTAGCCCTCTAGTAATGTGAATTTTCTTCGTAGGTGTGCCATTTACCAAAACTGGAATGGAAGCTGTTGAAACACACTTGTACATCCAAGAACTCCATCTAGCTCCAAACCCCATTTTACTCATTATTTTCAGCAAGATCCTCCAATCAACAGTATCAAAAGCTCTTTTGAAATCCACCTTAAAAACAACTCCTTTCAATCATTTTTTCCTCCAACAATCAATGCCTTCATTTGCTATAAACGAGCAATCTAAAATGTGCCTCCCCTGTATAAAAGCGAACTGTGAAGGACTAATAACTTCATTAATGCATAAGCTTAACCTTCTAGCCAGAACTTTTGAGAGAATTTTGTAGAAACCCCCAACTAGATTAATAGGCCTAAAGTCTTCAAGCCCCTCCGGATTGTCCCTCTTGGGAATAAGAGAGAGGAAAGAATGATTGGTTTCCATGTCCCATTCCTTTCCCTCATAAAAATCTTTAAAAAATAGTAGCAAAATTTCCTTCAGACTTGACCAAAACTTCTTAAAAAACCTAAATTCAGTTCATCCGGGCCAAGTGCTTTATTACAATTCGAATTAGCGATTACACCCCAAATTTCCTCTTCAGAAAAAGGCTTCTCGAGTGCCATACTCTGCTGATTCGATAGCTGTAAAAAATCCAAGTCCATCTCCTCAACTTCCAATGTATTTTCCTGATTAAACAACCCCTTGAAAAAGTGCACCACCGAAGCTTTAATTAATTTTGGATCTGAGATGTCTTCATTATCTACTTTGATGGATTTGATACCATTTCTCCTTCCTCTACCTCTTGCACACTGGTGGAAAAATCTAGTGTTCTTATCCCCATTCAAACTCCACTTCAATCTTGACTTTTGAAGCCAAATCAATTCATCTTTTTTATACAAGTCCCACAGCTCTTTCTTTGCTTCCACTAGATTCTTCATAGACACCATGGAGAGACCTTGTTGCAGATTGAGTTCCATCTCCTGAATTTCTTTCTCCAACCTATTTATTCTCCCGGGGATCTCAAGATAACCCTTCCCAGACCAATTCTTCACTGCATCCTGCACTCCTTTTAGTACACTGTAGATTGGTTGTCTATTCTCCACATTACAAAGCTTGACCAGTTCTCCCTCCATCATCCTACAAAATCCATCTTCTTCCAAGACATAATTAAACAATTTGAACGGTTTAGGGCCCTAATTCCAGCCCCTATTTTCCAGCAAGATGCTGTTATGATCTGAAACAGACCTTTCAAGGAGTCTTTGAGTTATCATAGGGTACAATGATAAAAATCTTTGATCCACTAGGAATCGATCAAGCCTCTCATAAGTTGGGATATCCCTATTGTTACACCATGTAAATCGACCTCTAACCAAAGGCAAATCCAGTAAATTAGCTTTGCTCATAAAATCTTTGAAAGAAAACATTGTAACTAAGTTAACTGCACCTCCCATTTTTTCATCCTGTGACATTACAACATTGAAGTCTCCTCCGAGACACACTGAACAGTCTATATTCTCTAAGAATGATAACAGCTCCCCGAAAAACGCCTCCTTTTCTGAATCGATACTCGGACCGTACACATTTATGAACCAACAGGATCCTTGTAACCCATCAATAATACCCTTAACTGCTACAAACCTCCTATGAATGATTTCCTCTATAATCTTATACTCTTTTTCATTCCATAAAGTAATCAGACCTCCAGCAGAACCTACATCTGCCGAAGCTGTCAACAAATTACCACCCATTTTCCTCACTACCAGAGGAGTCAACACTTCAATTTTCGATTCCTGAATGAATAAAATTACAGGCTTTCTCTCCTTAACAACCCTCATTACAGCTCTAGCCTTAATCCTCCTACCCAAACCTCTAACATTCCAAGACAGTAAATTCCAACTAGTCATCTATATCCAGTCATAACCTTGAAATCCATCACCCCTTAATTCCCCCCATGCGCTCCTCTCCCTTTAACCAATGAATTTGCTTTGTTCATAAAAGCTTTTTTTCCCCCTCTAAATGAAATCCCTAACAATTTACTTACATTCCAGCTCTCCAATGCCTCTGCCCCATCCCCCTCCTCATTTCTATATTCATATTCCGAACTTGTACCTAAACAGCTCCTAGTTCCCCTCAACCTAGATCTTGAATAAACATGTTTATATTTGCCCCTTCCCATTCTACTCCCAGGTACAATCCCCGAATTTCTATAAGAAGACAAGGAAACAGACCCCACCTGCACTGGAGTTTGACAATGTGCAACATTATTTTCTGCTGTTTCAAAACAACATCCCTTGCTTAATCTTTCCTCCTCTTGATCCAGCCCACTCCTCAAATGTAAATCCGGGCCCCTAATAAGCCCATTTCCGCAGTCAACTTTTTCATGCTCTATGGGAACACCTCCCAGACTTTTCCCATTTTCTCTCCCTTCATTAACTTCTTTTGACTTTTCCTGCTGTATGGAGACATCCCCTACTTCTGTCACATTTTTGCACAAAACAAAAGTATCTTCCATACCTATGTTTAAATTCAAACCTCCCTCGGTAGTTGTGTTTTTGCCTTGTTGAGAACTTCTAATCCAACACTCAATCCTATTATGGGGTTCTGAAAACTCTTGTACTCCCACCTGCTCTTCTTGCCTATTCTGCACATCTTCCTTGCTCCACTCGGAAGAGCTTTCCTCCCATGGTTCCTCTGCAACTTCTTCTACCTCCATATCTGTTAATTCTGGAAAAAAATCCTCAGCACCATCAACTTTAATTTTGATCATGAATTTTCTCCCATACGTAGTGATGATGATCTGTTCTGGAATGTCATATGGACTCTCAACCCTTAGTAACAACTGCGCCACTCTGCAATCCACTCTATGTGCAGTTTGATCTTGGATTTTTACTACCTTGCCCCATCTGGATGCTAAGCTAGAAAAGAATGGGACCGACCAACAATTTAATGGTACACCAATCATTGAAATCGCACAATAAGCTAATGGAATGCCCCCTCCTCTACCACTGGTTCCAATATTTCAAACCAGAACATCAGGGCTTCCCATTTTTCTTCCATTGCAATCCTTCTCTCTTCAACCGACTGAAACACTACCAGACACGCATTCTTCGCATATCCCCACCTCATCACCTTAACTTTAAAGCCCTCATTTCGTAAGGCTTTCTGCACAAATTCTACTTCAAAAATATCTTTGCAAATGCCAGTAAGTGAAGATTTCAACCATAATCTCTCTTCCATCGGGATAAAGACTTCCAAAGATTTCTTCTCTTCCTTAGTATTCCTTTGACTGCTTATTTGATGACCCTCTGGAACTTTTTTCACCCCAACCACCGTGTCTCTATGAGTCCTTCCATCAAGGAACTTGCTCATTCGTTCCATTTTCTCTTTCCCTTGTGCTGGAGAAGTCAATCTTCTACCCTTCAACTCTCCTATTTCGACCTTTTTGAAGCCCTCCACACTAGCCCCTTCACGACTCTTCGTCTCAGATAACTTGTCATATTTAGCTACTGATACAGAAATTATCTTCTCGGCAATCCTGACATTATTCATCTTCTCCACCGCATTGTACAGATCCTTCTTGCTTGCAAAATGGACAAAAGCAAACGTACAATCCTTGTATTTCGGTCTGTTGTTAATAAAAGGAATAAACACCCTAATAACTTTTCCATGATAACTAAAATGTTCCCCTAAAGTTCTTCTGCTCACTCTCCTACTAAGATTATCAACGAACGCATACCAAGACCCCCTCCAAGAACCTCTCCATCTTTGCCATCAGAATATCTGTTTAGATTCTAGGTTACTGTGGCTGATTATATTTTGGGAATACAAGGTTAGAAGGAATTGTGTGCACTAAAAAAGAGAGAATTTATCCTTTTACATTTGGGGCCTCTGTTGCATGACATATACTTACGAATCTATACCTTTGTGTGAATTTTGCTTTCCCAAGCTGCATTTTCACTGAGTCATAGTGATAATTGCTTCCTTTACTGATTGCAGATGCAAGGTGTTGTTAACTTCTTTGGCCGGGTATCTATTTTGATAGACCAGAATACAGAAGCATTCCGCATGTTGATGACCGCCCTTCTTCAGGTGCTGCTTTTGCTTGTTTAACTCCCCATTTCTCCAAGTTGATGTAGAATTATCTATCAAATTGGAGTTGATTTTCATATATAATAATAGATGAATCAACCAATACCGTATTCATGAGTGAAATTTGTTACTGTTGACTCATGGCATCGATATTTGCAGCTTTTCGATCGTGGGGGAATGTTGTACGGAGAATTGGCTAGATTTGTGTTAAGACTGCTGGGAGTCAAAACGAAACCCCGAAAGCTTAATCAACCAGGTCCTCCTGGACCCCATAATCTTCATGGGAATCAAAACTTTATTGAGGGCCCAAAGTCTGCTCCAAGTGGTGCATGGGACAATGTATGGGGAGAAAATTAGTTTGACGATCAACAATTCGAGATTGACCTGAAATTCCAAAGGGCGTGGCCACAGCACAGAGGAGACAGAAACAACTACTTGCACCTGTTACTACTCTGCTTGATGATATGCTCATCTGAAGAGTGGCCAAGTTTTTTCCTGCAAGTGTCTAAATATAGCAAGTATTCCGCTACTGTTAAAAAAGAGATAAGAGATAATAATAGCTATCAAATGTGCTCGTATGGATCTTGAATGTGAAGGCAATAAAAGTAGATTTTTTCTTTTGAAAACAAGGGAAGTCACAGTGATCAGTGGTGGGTCTATTTGATTGACTTGAGTTGAGAGAGAATATTGTGAGTTAATGAGTTTTATTTTATCATTTAAATTTTATTTAAATTTTTTTAGTTAAATTTTAGAAAAACTAAGTCGAATTGAATTATTTGAATTAAAGTAAAAAATTGAATTGATCAAACTTAAATTTTCTTGACAATTTAACTATATTTCAAATTAAAATAAAAAAGGATAAAATTCAATACGCTAAATTAGGTTTGATTATCTATTTATTGTTTAAATCTGTTAAAAATTTAATTAACTTAAAATTTTGTTTTATAATTTAATTTGTTTTGAGAACGTCTTAAAATTCTAATGAAATTTTATGGGAATTATATATTGTTTTATAATTTTTATAAATTTATGAACAAAAAAGAAATACAATTTACTAGGTGTCGAAATCGTCTTTCGGTTGGGTCCGGAATTGGGCTTCAACTTGAATAAATGGATTATAAGTCGCCACCGATCATTTATTTTAAAACAAATGGGTTGATCGGTTACCTTATTTCTTACATGATCTGCGTCTTACCAAAGATGTGTCGGATTCGAGAGTCGGTTACAGTCAATGAATGATTAACACCCTTGAACTGTCCTTTCGGTACTATGTAATTTTCAGTTGTCTTTAATAAAAAAAATTGAAAGTTCAAATTAAAAGGTAAAATAACGATCCAAATTACTTACCCTAGATTGATTTGAAGATATCCTTAAAAAGTCGAGAAATGTGTTAGGTAAGAAAATACAAATAAAAATAAACGAATAAAATAAAGAGAGTAAAATAAAAAGAATAAAGAAAGGAAATAAAAGTAAAGATAAAAAAAGTAAATAAAATAAGCAACATGTAAATAAAGAAACAGATTAAAATAAATAAATAAAATAAAAAAAACAAAAAAATAAAGAGATAAATAAATAATGTAAATAAAATATAATAAAAATTATAAAATGAAATAAATTAAATATATGAAAATAATAATAAGAATAACATATACACAATAAATAAATAAATAAAAGCGAGGAGAAAATAAAATAAATAAAGAAAACAAAACAATAATAATATATATAGATACTAATATTAATATTAAATAAATAAAGAGAAAAAAAGTAATACAATACGATATAAATAAATGGAAAAGAAATATATATATATATATATAATAATGATAATAAATGTATATATATATATATATAATTAAATATTAAAGGAAAAAAACTAAAATAATAATATAGAAATAAAATAATAAAAAAATAAGATATAATACAAAAAAAAGTCACACAACTACCCTCATCACCGAAAGTGAGGGGTAATTTGATTTAAAGGACAAATGGCCCCCTATATATATATAATATAGAGTTTAATAAAATAATTTAAAAAACAATGATAACAAAAAAAATAATAGATATAAATAAAATACTTATTAATAAATGTATAAATAAGAAATTAAAAAAATAATACAAATAACTAATAAAATCCAAGCAAAAAATAGTATTTAAATAAAAAAAGGAGGAACAAATATGTGTATATACAGTAAATAAAATAAAATAAATAAATTGTATAAAAATATGTATATATATACATAAGTAAAGACTACCAAAAATAATAGTAATAAATAATATATATATATATATATATATATATATTATTAAAACAAAATAATATATATATATATATATAATAATAAAAATATTTAAACAACTCCCCATCATTTCACCGAAATGGGGGAGAAATTTTGGTATGTAAAGATAAAAGTGGTGGGAGAGATAGGTCATGATAATAATTGTGTAGATAGTATAATAATAATAAAATAATATATTTATAATAATAATAATAATAAAGACAAAAGATCTAAAAAAATAAATAAAAAACATAATAATATAATAGTAATAAATAAATAAAATAACCGAAAATAATAAAAATAATAACGATAATAATAATAAAAAGTGAAATATATATATAATAATAATAATAAAATATATAATAGTAAAAAAATAATAACGATAATAATAAAAAATGAAATATATATATATATAATATAATAATAATAAAATATATAATAATAATAATAATTAATACATAAATGTAAGGTACCGAATCAGAAGGAAAAACAAATCTATGGGCCAATTTCGAAGCAAAAAATATTGATTTAGGGGGGAAATTAAATACTTGAAAAACAGGGGGACCAAATGCGGGTTTATCCATTTTAATTGAAAAACACGCGGGTTGCATGTCTTTCGGGCCGGGTCGATGGGGCTCCATAGGTCTAGTATATATTTCAAAAAATAGAAACAAATTTCATTTTTTAAAACACTCTTCAAATGGATCAAAAGCCCCCAACTCATTTTATCTATTTTGTTATTCACGTTCATCCGATGGATGAACTGCCACCGTGGTTTCCAGAACCTGGTGGCCCGCCGCCTCGCCGGCCGCCTTTGATCGGCGTCGACCGTCGGTCATCGGCGGCGAAACTTAAAAAAAAAATTCGAAAACTCTTCGGATTTTCTCTTTAAAAATCAAAACGTTTTTTCAAAAATCGTCCCGGAAAAGCATAGATCTAGGAAAAAGATTTCGAAAAGAAAGTGACAGGAAAACCACACATGCAAGCAAGGATCGACTGAAACAAAGGTAAAATATTATCTTTCTTTTTATTTCTCTATTTCCGAACGATTACAATATTGCCTTTGTTTTTTTCGTGCTTTCTTGTGTTTAATCGTGCGTCCCTCTCCTCCCCTTCACTCGTATGTAAATGTTACATTTATAGGAAAATAAAATACTATTTTTAGTCTTCTAATTGATTCCTAAAGTCTAATGGTTGTTGCATGGTTGTTGGTGATTGGCGTCGTGAAAATCGGATGTGGGGACATGTTGCCGTGAAACGCGGGAGCGGGCTATTGGAGTCTTGAAGCGGCGTTGGAGTGAGGCGATGTAAGGAGAGCAATGCACTAGGGTTTTCTAGAAACCCTGATCTTGAAACGAGTCCTAAACCATTTGGGTTTTGGTTGTTGGGCCTTGTCCCTGATTTGTTAGTCTTGAACCTGTACAACAAATAAATAATGAATATATAAATATATAATCAATATAATATATGTGTAAAATATGTGACAGAAATGACGTGTCTACACTAGTTTTGATAATTTACTTGATTAATGTTTAATTCTATTAAAATTTTAATCAATTCAAGAATTAATTATTATATAACTTAATTTGTGGGTAAATTATAATCTTCTTTATTTTCGATTTGATCGACTTTGAATTATAAAAATTCAATTAGACTCAAACTCAAAAAATCGAAAAAAAATCAAATTAATTTGGAAAACCGTTTACTGAAATCTAATAACTCAAAATTTAAAATGTTTTCGATTCTTACCAATCAAATCATTTTTTGCTTGCCCTCGACAAAGATACCCTTTGCCTTGAGCTGCTTGTTCTTTCTTAGCTAGATGAACACAGAGCACGTAAAACTCAAAACTTTGATTCAACATAAAAAAAATGGATTTGGGGACAAGAAATAAAAATAAAATATAGAATAAGCAAACACAAGCTTCCAAAAAAAAAAACAGAATAATTGAAGAATAATGAAAGAGGAGGCAGAGGGAGCCTCTGATAGACCAGAACACAAGTGTCGGGTAGCATAAAGTAAAGTAGTGACTTTAGTTTCTTGATATCTTGTCCTAACTGGATGCAACAGATAAAAACAACAAAACCTAAGCAATGTCTCATGCAGTATGAAAATTGCCTCATGTTAACATCAAATTCTTCTATTTCATCACAAATTAAGATTATCAATCTCATACTCATCGCTATCTAAGTTGCCCCAAATAGGAAGCTCTATCGAGCCTACTTCTTCGAACCTAATCTTCACATCGCATCTGTACAGTTTAAACAACTCCACCGCTGTATCTGATATCCAGTCATCCTGGTTCATGTACAAAAAGGAGAGCTGTTTGCACCCTTCTATCAGAGCCTGCAACCCTTGATCACATAAGTTCCAGCATTGGTTCACGTGGAGTTTCTCTAAATTATGGCAGTTTGATCCGATGGAAGCCCATCCAAAAACCCTAACCTCACGACGCAATGCCAGGTTCCACTCCTGAAGTTGTGGACACCCTTTTGCAATTGCAACAATAGAAGCATCAGTAACACTTCTACACATTCGAAGACTGAGGATTTTAAGCCCCGCCGAAAATCCATTGTCGATTGCCTCCAATCCATTTCTGAAGTTCGAGCAACTTAAACCGGCGATGTTCAAAAACTTAAGCCCACCTCCACTAACAATGGACATTATTCCTTCGGGTTCAAGATTACAACACTCAGCATCAATGTAAACCAGCGTTGATGAACAACCTCTTAAGCCAACACCACTTACACCCCTGCAATCGGATATCTTAATTGTTTGAAGCTCACGACATCTTTGAGAAAGAACACTCAACCCGAAGTCGGAAATCTGTAGGCAATAAGAAAGATTCACACGCCTCAAAGACAAGCAAGCATTAGCTAAAGCTTGTAGCCCCGTATCAGTAATGTTGCATTGATAAGACTTATGGTAGTTAAGGAGGGGCAACCGCAACCAACCAGGGAAATCCCATAATCGCTGATTCTAAAACAACAGTTCAGACATAGGGTTTGCAGTCTTGAACAATAGGGTTTCAAGTAGTTTAGGGCAGAATCCGTTAGCTCTGTGCAACGGGAAAGGGATAAATACTCTAAATGCTGAAAACGGAATGAGTTGATGTCGGTACAGCTTTGAGATAACGAGGAACGTCCAACAAAGCCGAAAGAACATGGAAACTGCAGCGACCGACGTTGCAAGTTTTGAATATTAAGCCAACGGTGGCAAGTTAGGCCAAATGATTCTCGGTCAGTCCTATTGCCGAGAAAATTGAAAATAAAACAGAGGCAATCATCCATGTTAGCACTCTTCTGAAGGCTGTACGGCTCGGATCTTTATGGTAAACCTTTTATAAACGGCGTCAGATGAATCGGGAGAGTCAAAACCCAGAGAGCAGACACATCGCCGTACCCGTACCCTATATGAACACCGCATTTACGGCAAAGGAGGAGTTTAGTTTTTAAGCGATAACGGCCCCAGCTAACAGGAAAACAACGTACCTCATCGACTTACGTGAACCGACTAAGACCAACAGACAGAAAGGAGATATGGCCCTTCTTTACGGGTTACTGGGTTAGTGATACTGATACAAGATATCTTCATTCGACGATTGATGAATAATCTTTTTCACAAACAAAACTATCAATATTGTAACTCCAGACCCGGTCTGTAAATTAGACCCAAACTTAAGTGGTCACATATTTCATTCAGAGATTTTTTTTAATATTTAAAACAAACATTAGAGATAATACGGAACAAAATATCAATAATACAAATATATCCAAAACGATAGCAAAATACATGTCACCAAATACAACTGAAAAATATATAGAGATATACGTTCGTACAAAATAAAGTAGTTGATCTCTCCTGATGTCAAATCTGCTAGCTTATTTTCTCCTGTTATCTGAAAAGGGTTAAAATTACAGAATGAGTTAAAAAGCTCAGTGTGCTCCATACAATGTATATTAAAACATACTGATAAAAATATTCCAGTAAAATCGGTTTATGCAATCATGTCGTTAAAAATATAAACACTACCCCCAGCCCATCACAACAGAATAGGTAGGTTCCCCAGAACCATACACCCAGCCCACACAACAAATAAGACCCTGAGCACCAAGCCGAGAAACCTGCAGATATACTTCCTTCAATAATACCCCCAATGATAGAGATGTTCATCAATGTATTTAAATGAAAACAATGATTAATTCTTTAAAACATAAAAGTGTTCATTGAAAATCATATACAAAAATATGAAAATCAGAAGACAAATCAGTAGTATACAGAAATTCAGATATCGTATAATCAGTATTCAGAAAATCGGTATAAAATACCGTAACCAGAAATCATATCAGAATATGCGGTAAATCAGATATCAGATACACAATATTAAGATATATATTTTAAAACAGTAATAATGTAATATTGTCGGGAAACACACCTGTAACAGTCTAAGAAATCATATAGGGAAGCTTATTACTGGGTTTGTCGATCACACTCTGCTGCAGCGCTAAATCCTACGAATTTAAAAAATCCATATTGAAATCCTAATATAAATAATCTTAATCTTTATTTAAATAATATACGAAAAACTACGGGTAAATCTTGTATTACGCGGTTCGGGCTGATTTAACAAACGGACGACACCGGACCTAACTGATCCCCTCTCAGGTGAAACACGAGTACCTTCATAAAATATTTTATTGAATCAATTCCTTAATCAAAACTCAAATAAATAATCAAAACATTAAAATATTAAACTTTTTGGGTTTACATGCTCGATTCAGGGATTTCGGGTCATAATTTGAAAAAATGGATTTCAGAATCAGATTCAGGACGTCGAAAAATATAAAATATGACCTTTCGAAAATGTATTCTTGGTCAAAATCAAAATCAACAGCTTTGACTGACGATTTAGAGACTTTCGGGTTCGAATTTGGTGAAACGAACCCCAAAAACGGATTTTGGACGTTGACAAATGTCAGAATAAGTATATTCGAAAAAAATTAACGGCCGGTCAAAACCGATTAAAGTTATGGTCAAAGGTGGTCAACAGATGATCAACTATTTTACACAATTATCACCTTTTTAAGAAATATTTACAAAAATATCAATTTTTTTTAAAATAATTACGAAACTGTCACATTTTAAAAATAATTACGAAAATATCACTTTTTAAAAATAATTACGAAAATATCACCCTTTTAAAAATAATTATAAAAATAACACCATTTTTAAAATAATTACCAAAATATAACTATTTTAAAAATAATTACTAAAATATCACTCGGTCAATGGTCAACAGGTCGGGTCGGGTTGTAACCGGTCAAACCGGTTTCTTAAATCTTCCCCACGGGCAGTGACGACGCGTGGGACCTCCTCCGGCATCGTAAAATTCACAGAAAAATTTCTAAAAATTAGTTTGAGCGATTTCGAGGTACTTACAAAGCTCGGTTCAAAATTTTGAACATCGGAGAACTCGGTTTCAACAAATCGAAAACTTTAACCGTCTCACCTCCTCACGCGTCGCCGATCGACGGAGACCAGGGATGACATCGAAGGACTCTAAACGACACAAAGAACACGATGGTGCGGGAGGTGTCGAAAACGGAGTAACGATCATCGATGAATTTAATATTTTCTCGACGATGGTGCTAAAAAAACGTCGAGACTTTGACTTAAAATTCACGACGTTTGACAACGTTTCACTTCAATTAATTTAAAGGGTTTGTACCTCGCTCGACGACAAATACGATGGTGGTTTCAAAACGACGATCGGAATTCGGACGACGTCGAGATCGTGGTTGGAAGTTAAAGTTGGTGGGGAGGAATTTTAGTAAATTATGCTTATGAATCCCCTCGTAAATCTAATTCAAAGCATTTAATAGAGTGTCTGCCGATACTCTTTGAGTAAATTCAGAGCTTAGTCCCTGAATTTCCTTAAATTCTAAAACATACTACAAATTTTTTGAAAACTTTCAATTTAATCTACAATTTCACCAAATTAATTAATTAAATCCTCAAATTTCAATTAAATTTTTTTTTTTTTTCAAATTCTGGGTTGTTACAAATATACTCTAAGTAGTTCTTACGTTGCTAAAAGCCTAAAAATACATGATTCGGCCCTCCTAAATAACTGACAACTTAGGTAAAATTCATTAATAAAATGCAATGATTTCTGGACTTGACTGAAAACCCAGATGATCCCGTAAACGAAGCATTACGAGGAGAAGGATTTAAAGGGGAATAATACCTGTAGCAGACGTCAGCTTGGGACATCCACTTTGGAAATCAGGAGAATAAAACACAGACCATTTTCAACGGCGATGGGTTGTGATATAGCAGAATCGTCGTTGATCGGAGGTTTTGTGGTCGGAGAAAAGAATGGTTTACAGAGAGGAGGGTTTGGGGGAGGAGGATGCGTTTCCACTTGAGTATTTGTCTTGGTTTAGGGTTTTTCTTTTCTTTTATTATTAATTAATCTGTTTGTATTACAATTCGCATAAAATATAAAAAAAATGCAGAGTTATCTGCTTATGTGAACAATTCAGAATTATCATTATTTTATTGGAAATAATTCATTTAATCTTCGAGTAAAATGGGATGAAGATAAATACAGCATTTGAGAAACGAAAGTCAAAGGGGTCATGTTTACACGTGGCAAAGCTTAGTATGTTTACACCGATAATGTTATAATTATTTAAAAAATTAAATAAAAATATTAAAAATATTTAATAAAAAATAATTTTTTATATCACAAGTCATATTCAAAGCAAATTATAACATATATATATAAGTTAAAAACCATAAAATCAAGTGAAACAAAATGATTTAAATTAACTACAACATAATATTTAAGGTAAAACATATTAAATAATAAATATAATTATATAATTATAATTAAAAAATAAATTTAAGGCTAAAAAAATCATAATAAAATGATATTTGTTTGGTTTAATTTTTTTTTTAAAAATAATCTCACATGGCTAAGAAACATAGAAGAGCATCACAACTAACTTCTATAAATAATAGATGTAATTTGACATTTAAAATCATAGAGCCTTTTGATGAGCATTGAGTGAATTATTCTTTCACTTCAATCACGCTCGAATTTTATGCTTCAATCGAGCTTCTAAATTTTTTTTGAGTTCAAGCTTTTTTGAGTTCAAGTTTCAATATTATATTTCGAGTTTGAGTTGAACTTGATAATTTTTAGCTCGTGAGTTTGAGTCGAGTTGAGCTTACTTTTAAAGTTTTCAAGTTCGAGTCGAGTTCAGCAATACTAGAGTTCGACTTGGCTCGTTTAACAAACGACGTCGTTTGGTTTAATTTTTTTAAAAAAACAAAATTTCCAGTTTTTTTTGGGTTTTTTTTTGTTTTTTCGGATTTTCAGCCGGTCCGATTCGAACGGTTCTGACCGGTTCATTAGTAACGGTTCAATCGGTGTAGATTAAACCGGACTAAACAATAATTTCCGGTTAAACCGGTTGGATTTTCAAAACACTGGGGTGTACCGACAAAGTTTAAAAGGGGAGGGGAATCTTACCCTTTAATTAATAACGTCAATGCATTTAAAAAAATATAATAATACGTAAATTCCAACAATTTATTTATTGAATCCGTTGTTTTAAAGTCCAAAGTATGCAGAAATGATAACCAAGTAATCCTGAATTACAATTGCAGCTGTTGGGAAACCACGCGTCAATTACATAGCATTCAATCAAAACAAGCAAATCTAATCACAACTTTTGCCATTACATCTCCCACACTGCAATTTAATCCATAAATTAAGAGTTCGATCCCAACTTGAAACAGGCTCTCAGCTCGACTCCACTCAAAATGCCATTCTATTTTCCGTCAATATACGCTGAAATTCGGAACAGCAGTAACGATTTCAAAGCAAGCAAGAATTAGCAGGCTTTATGCGTCATCGTTGTCGGCCCCATTACATACTGTATGCTGTTAAGCAGAGAACAGGCCGGGCCACCATCATCAATGACAAACACAAGAAACAACATACAAATTTTAAACAGAATAACCAGTCAAGCCAGCAAAAATTACTTGTTTCTCCTAAGCACCTATCTCACTATCCATCACTAACAACCTAATTTCTCTGTGTTTGTAAGTCTTTTTTGGACCTGACAATCCTTGTATGCTGGCTATTTTCTCGTATCATGATCGTATTAAAGTATTGTATACAAAAAACTATACACATCAGTAATATGCCATGTATAAAATTGCTAGGTTCATGTCTTTTTACATTTAGTTTAAGTTCATCGAAGAAAATAGGGCTAATTTATGAACATGAGGAGATGAGTTTAAACCCAGAAAGACAAACTCACACAAAGTGGTTACTCAAGCATAAGAACTCCCAAGAAAAAAAAATAATGTTCTTTACAGAATCATTTAGGGTTCTAAGGGACAGATTAAACACAAAAGTATAGTCTCAAGTTGTTTCAATTTACAACTTAAATATGAACTAAATTGGCCTATTTACGATTATAGTCTCTACTCTACTGTAATGTCTCAAAACCGGAAAGCAGAAGATAGGGAGTCATAGAGAATGTAAACACTTGGCAATGCAAGTACCCATGAGATGCTCATGCGCTTTGTCATGCTATGATTGCAATCATGATGTTTGTAATCCAACATCCAAGACCACATACGAAGAAAGAGAGTCAAAGAGTGAATGTTAGACTGTTACCTGCTTTCCTTCGTCAGTGGAATAAAGCTAACCATGCTATATTGATCCACCTAACACACAATAACAAATCCAAGCAATTTTTAGGAATTCTTAAAGAGCCCCGTTTGAATTGAAGAATACTATGCGAAGAGTACAAAGACAACAAGGCTCCATACTAGGGAATAACCAAACTACCAAAAGGTGAAAATATCCCTCAACTCAGAATAAAATAAATAAATAAACTTTGCTCCAAAGACATTCACTCAACTCGGAAGTGTCACAAATTGTAGTATCAAATTATCATAGAATAATCACAAAGACAACCTTATAGGTCTTGAATGGAAAAGTATCTCACCAATTCAATCAAAGATTTATTTAGCTTTTTAAACCGAGGAGCCATCCATTCGTTCATTTCTAAAAGCAGAGGTCGAGGTTCTGGTGGATCCAAGTAGCTATGAACGACATAGAGAAAAATGGTTAAAAATGAAGAAAAAGAAAAGAAAAAAAGAAAGACAAAAAATGCTCACTTTCCAATATCCCTCTTGTTTGTTACAAGGTCAATTTTCGTGTGTATATTAACATGTGGTAACTCAAGCTGGACCATTGCAGAAAGTGATGCCATGCATCCACTAACGAAGTTTGTAACATCCGTGATGAACTGAGACAAATAAAAATTTAGAGATGGATAAAAATGCACATAACCAATGATAAAGATATACCAATGGAACTTGAAAAGGAAGCCAGTAAGTGGGAAGATGCATAGCTTAGACAAACCTGGGAATCAAGCAAGTGTACACAAAAAAAATTAACGTTCTCGCGCTTCAATTGTTCCACAAAGTTACACAACATGTGTAAATGTGAAAAGAGTTCTATCTGGCCTATAAAAATAACTGCAAGTTAGTAAAACTAGTCCTTGGTTGTAGTAAGTTCAACAAAATAATACGTTACAAAATAAAGCCTAATGCAGTAACACAATAAACTTATGAATGAATTTCAAGATTTTAGTTATAAAATACCAGAATACATATCCAAACAATAATAGATACCTGGACTATCAAACACCAGATAGTCATCCTCCAAGTAATTGTCCAATTCTTCAGTCAGCCTCTCATCCAAATTTTCTTCAAGATGCCTAGTTGAAGGTTAAGGTTTACATATGTTGTTCCAAATCTTATTGTTGGAAGTAATCCATGTCCGACATCAGTAAGGGATATGAATCTCCAAGGATTATCCAAATACATCATACATGGGAAGACTAGGGAAAAACTGAACATACCATGTCAGACGCAAACTAGTATCCAACTCTCACACCCAAGTTAGAATAAAAAAAAGGTTTACAATATTGTGGCGAAAGTAAGTGTTTACAATTTGCTCCCAAAATCTAATTGAAGGAACAACACGCAACTCTTCAAATGATAAAATAGAAAGCTGAGAACATTGGCAGTGGAATCAATTAGTCAGCAAAAAACTCCACAAATATTCAGTGTATTTAAACACTTCGGTCAGAAGCAACAGCCAAACATGATACAACATTTAAACACTTTGGTCAGGAGCAACAACCCAAAATGATACATCAACATAACAGCATCTGGGTAACCATAATAATAGCCGCGAAGGCTTTCAGTTAACAACAATCAGCATAATGGCAAAATGGTAAAAGGTAAATTTCCTTTTATACAACAAGATAAGATAAAAAGGAAAGGATACTCCATGCAGTAGATATGACCACCCTTTGGACCCAATCCAAGTTCCTCCATGACATCATCCAAACTAATGAGCTCTCTTATATCTGCAAATAGAAAAAACTCAATGGCAACAAAGTCAGATAAGAAAAGATAAAATAGCAATGAGATAAGAAGGTTAATCACGCATGGCTACGGGATAGTCAAAATTTTCTGCAGCAGGATCAAGGTCCACAATATGTATTGACCGTCCAAGGGTTACACAATGCCGGTACAGGTTAGAGCAGTAGGTTGACTAACTCCAAAAACAAGAATAATCACTTCAGTATAAATTGAATAGAATAGTTTATACTCAATACACTAACTCACCTTTCCACTTCCTGCAGGACCAACAACGAATTGTGCATATCCCATGACAGCTTTTCACGCTAGTCTAAGCAGTTTCACTAACTCAGAATGAGCAGATGGAATTTACTATCCGCAAGGCTGCAACAATTGCGACAGTAATATATGCGGCACACCACACACTAACAGCGAACAGCAAATTCAAGAAACCAGAGTGGCCCATAAACAGTGGTGAGGGAGATATGCAATATTAGATAACCTGATTCATCAATATCAAAGAGGAAACCGGAATCAAATTTTGATTACACAATTCGCCTTTAGTATCGATAGGAATGTTGATAAAACAATATAAAACATAAACTGAATTGGGGAAATGAGCAGATAACAATGTTGCAGCTGGGTTGTAAACCCTGATCAACAAACTGCTTTTAATGGTTTACAAAAGAAAACAGCTTCATCTAGTTTATTGTGTGAAATAAATGAAAAATGAAAAAACAAAAAGGAAAGTGTAAAATACAGTCAAATTTGACAATCCATTAACAAAGGAATACAGAAACAAATTATGGTTATCCAAAATAAGAATTTTGATCATCCAAAGAACTGCAACATAATCGAAATAATAAAAGAATGAAAATAGCTTATCAAAAAAGAACCCAAATATATAAAAAGGCGAAAAGGAAATATTAATAAGATCAAAGCCAGTAGATTACCTGAACTCTCCTATTTTACAATGGAGTTGAAACCAAAGGGAAGCCGAACCTTTTGTAATGGGGAAGCAAACGGGCTACCAGCTCACTCGTGTAATTGCGAGCTATTTTTTTATAGAGTAAATTACATGTTTGGTAACTCAACTTTACTCATCATACTTTCTATGTTTTCAATTTATTTATCAAACTTTATAGACTGAATTTTTTTAGCGTTAAATAATTAACGGCGTAATAATACGATCGTATTTTAATCAAAATGATGTCATTTTAGAATAAATTTTATTTTTCAGGAATTTCAAAAGACATCGTTTTGATGTAAGTTGCCTTTTTGTAACATCGTTAATTACTTTAATGGCGGATTGACCAAAAAATTTAATCTATAAAATTTAGTGAGTAAATTAAAAAAATTAAAAGTACAGTGAATAAAATAGGAGAGAATAAAAACCAGTTACCATTTTTATATAAAAGTAAACAAAAAATAGGATAAATTACATAATAGTTATTAAAGAATTAATAAATTTCGTTTTTCTACTAAAGTTTTAAAGTTTTAAAAGTAAGGAAACAATTATTAATATTATAAAAGATAACAAAATGATCAATTAATTATTAAGTTAATGATGTTATAAATATGTTCTTATAAATTATATTTTTATAAACATTCTTATAACATTTTATAATTTAGATTAATTTTAATTCTTGGTCCTAATAAATATATTGTTACAATATTTTTGTAACTAATGATATAATTAATATATTTTCTAAAATAGATATAATTAATTTATATCCTAATTTAATTTAAATATTACTTTTACAAAAAAAATATATTAAAGTTTTAGCTTATCTTAGTTATTGAACACCGAGTCTTATTTAAAGAGGATAAGTTGAATCCCAAGTTTATATTATTATTTTCAAACAATTTTTATAATAACTTAAATTTTTTTTAAAAAAATTATCTAAATATAAATTCGTGTACATATGTAGATTACGTTGTTCAATAATTAAGTATTTTCATATTTTTAAAATTTTTAACTAATAAGATAATGTGATGTATTATCATTTTATTTATAAAAATTAATATACTAAAAATGTCACACCATCCGTCACGTCAAACTAACGTTAGTCATATGAGGATTGAGGAAGCTAAACGATTGGGTGATCGTTTTGTACTTTTTGTAACATTAATGATTGTTTCATTATTTTTAAAACTTCAGTGGAGAAAATAATTTATTAATACTTTAGTGACCATTGAATGCAATTTACCCTAAAAATTTTAGGCTTTTACCGCTTAAGGGCTTTGTCTTGGGCGCTTCACTTGTTCCATTTGTATAAAATACTCCGAAAGCAATATTTTTGGGTCAGAACAAGTAAATCTCAAACTGTATTTTTACCTTCCGTTTGGGGTAAACCTGCTCTGTTTACTTTGCCTCGTTTTTTCTTTTCGTTCAACCCCGGAGTGTTATTTTTTTGGCGACGAGAAGCAAAAGAAAAAAATTTCAGATCCGGTTATTGAAAATTTTGATAGAGGTCGGTTCTTGCCCTTTACTTTTTGATTTGTTATGATAAGAACACCTATCGAATTCGAGGGTTTCTGTTGTAATTTCTTTTAAACTGTGATTTCGAAGCTATTTCTTACTTGGATTCTTGATAATGCCATCATAAGTTTTAAAAGTCGGTATATTTATCAATTTCTCTTTCAATCCATTTGCTGAATTTAGATAATTGCTTCCAATGCAGGGAGTTTACGGGGAAAAGAAAATGGTTCCCTTGTTTTATCTGAGCCAAACTTGGATGAAAAGGGAGATAATGAAGCTAGCCATCAGATAATATCGCTTTTAAGTAAACTGGGTTCAGTTATTTGGTCACTATGGCTTTGCAATGCCGTTTCGAGCATAACCTCAATCTCTCCTCACCATAAGAGAGATATCTTTATGAAGATGTTGGCATCAAAGCCAACAAAGAAGAGTTTTGCATCTCAACTCTTGCAATTGGTTTTTGAGAAGAGGCCAAGGAAAGCTGGCTCTATCTTGGTCAAAAAAAGTTACTTGCTCGAGAAGTTTTTCCAAGGGAAGTCGAGTTTCCTTTTTTGTTCCTTCTTTAGGGTTCTGTGGTTTCTTTGATTTTGTTTTTCTCTGCACTGTTATGTTCTTTTGAGGTGAATTTTCTTCCTGTGCCAATTACGGTAAGCTCCATGGTTTATATTAGTTCAAGTGCTGTTTGTTCATTCTTTGTCTAGAATTTTGGAATTTTAGAGGTTGGAAACTTGGGATTACTGTGAATTTTATGATTTTTTCCAAGTTGATTATATCTCTGTTTGATTCATATGTTTTGTGGGACATTGTTGCACTCTTTGTCCTTTGCGGAATTGAATTTCATTCTGTGGCATGAAACTAATTTGCAGCTCCAACTTAGTTCTTTATTAGCTTGTTCAAGTACCTTAAAGCATTGGTGATCTTATATTATATGATAAAGGATTTCGGATAGAGGTAGAGATTACTGTAAATTTAATGGTTTTCCATTTTGGTTCTATTTTGCAGTTCGATTAGTATGTTTTGTGGAATCTTGTTGCACTCTTTACCCTTTGTGAAATTGAATTTTGTAGCATGGAGACTAGTTGCTGGCTCCAACATAGTTCTTTGTTTCACGATCGGGGGAGAAGGGAGAAGAAACGAAGGACGCGAAGAAGTAATTGGGGAAAGTGGAAGTCAAGGGTTAGGGATTGATAGTGAATTGGGGATGAATTACCTGATAAGTGATCACGTGAGGAGCACGGGGAAGTCAATTACCCAACAAGAGAGCTGAAGTCCACAAACAGATCAACTAGCCCATTTAGTGGCCAAATACCTGAGGAAATAACAGAATGGTTATTCAAGGACAACAACTGACATTTAGTTAGATTCTATGGTACATTGTAAACAAATAAAACAGTAATGTGTAAAGAACAAATCAGACATATTTTGAATGAATTCAGATTTCTTTCATCTCTATTCTACTTCTTTCTTTCTGCTTTTCTTCTTCTCTATTTCCCTAATCTATCTAAGTCATTACAATTGGTATTCAGAGCCACAACTCCTGGCAAAGCAATGGTTGCATCCTCTGTTTTTTCTGCGATTCAACAACAGATTGAAGACTTATCAAAGCTAGTGAAGCAAGATCAATACCTAGAGACAAGGATTGCAATGAACAAGGGTCGTTTGGAGCAGATTCTAAAGGACTTGTCAGGAAGGACAGATGATAAGGAACCACTAAGCCCGAAAACTGAGCAATTCATGGAGAGAAAAAAATGGTCAGCTTTCACTTGGTGAGTCTAAACCCTTCTTTACTCCTAAAAAAATATTATCAGTGACAATAAAAGAAACATATGATGTTTCGCAAGTGTTTGATAAAATGTCAACAAGAGTAGATCATGTGGTATTCTCATCCATCACCGGTTCCATGAAGGTTGATTCACGGCTGCAGCAGAAACAAACCATGGAAGATGACAAGGTTGTTATGAGGGCTGAGTTAAATTTTGAACAAGGACATCAACATCAAATGAAGATTCCAGATGCACTAAGAAAGAGAATTTCCACTTATTATGATACAGGATGGAGGAGAAACCATCATCAATTGAGAAAGATGTCTAAAGATCTAACAAAGGAGCTTCAAGGTTTAAACAAAGATAAAGATATGTTGGAAATTCAACAAGCATAAGCAATAAAGAAGCAAACTGCACTTGAGCTTGATGTAAAAGATTTAGAAGAGAGGATGTCTGGTAACATGCAAGCCAAAGATGATGCAATCAAACAATTTCGAATGTTGCAGAATGAAATACAGGAGTCAACAGAGGAGCTTAACAGGATTAAACCGCTCTATGACAACCAATTAAAAAAAGAGGAGAATATAACAAAATGGATCATAGAGCGTGAAAAGCAACTTAGCATCCTCTATCAAAAACAAGGTCGTGCTATTCAGTTTTCTAGTAAAGCTGCTCGTGATAAATGGCTTCAAAAGGAAATTGAGGATTTGGAAAAAGTGCTTTATTCAAATTCATCGCAGGAGAAAAAGCTTCAGTAGGAAATTTTTTGGCTTAATGAGGAGTTGGAACGCTTGGATAGTTCTATTGAAAGACGCAAAGCTGAAATCAAAGAGTTGGAATCTTCAATTTCCAAGTCTCGGTTTAATTCTCAGAAAACAGAAAGAGATAAGTTGCAGGATCAAAGGAAGTCCTTATGGGAGAAAGAAAGTAAGCTTTCTGCTGAAATTGATAAGCTGAAATCAGAAGTTAAGAAAACAGAGAAGAGCCTTGATCATGCAACTCCTGGAGATGTAAGAAGCGGGTTGAATTCTATTAGGAAGATATGCAGAGAATATAATATAGATGGA